GAACATTAAAGCCAAACAAAGCATCCCAACACAAAACCCCCTGTGACCAGGTGGTTTTGCCTTCTTTTATTCCGGGAGTTAATTTTTGTTTTATTCTCTTCTTGATCTACCCCTACTCTCTTAAATGTTGAGGATTTTCTGTTTAATGTTCTCCCCTGACACAGTTTTAAAGCCATCTCTTACAAATTATGTTGGAGTTTTAGTCGTTTTACACCGAACCCAACCCTGAAAGCAAAACATGAGGCCTGCGAGAAAGTGACCATAAATCGTCTGTCACTTTCTTTTTATTTTTGTATCACACTAGGATTCGTTGTCATGAGTATTTTTGGTAGAATAAATTCTCCTTTGCTATAAAGTAGCTTTCTTATTTTTTTCCTCCCCTCTTTCTCAAAGCTCATACTGATTTCTTTTTACTTCTTTTAGTCTAATATGGTAAATAAAAGTCTGGTCACAGTTTACCTTTTTCAATTTTAATATGTTTTATTAGGGTAGCACGTCCAAAGTCTGCAATAGACAGCAACAAAGAAGAAGGCCAGAAAGTAGCCAGGGCTTCCGGCAAGTGGTTTTTCGTTTCTTTGGATTTTTTTTTTTTTTTTGGCTTTTTCTCCCTAAGGGAATGGATTTGGTATTCAGTGTTGAGACTCAAGCCATAGAGGTAAATTAGTAATAGAAACAGGATTGGGCTGCCTGAGTTGGCCCCAGCCCAAGCTTTTGAAAGTGGAGAGATAAAGTGCCTATAGAAACTCCCAGATCTAGGATGAGTAAAGTGGAGTTCCCCTAACAAGCTGCCAGTCTCTAGGTCAATAACCAAGTGATCAAAAATTCATTTATTTATACACATTTGCTTCAAACATCTACATTCGAACTCTTCCCTTCCCTCTCCCCGTTTTCAGTGTGGTTGATTAATCTCCCCGTTGTTGATGGGTTCAGGCAAAACAGACCTAAAAGACAGAGGAAAACAAAATAAAACAAAACAATGGTTACTAGCTGGAAAATCCGTGCCAGGAAGGATTCTTTCTAGTCACCCCAGGATTCTTGTCCCCACAACACACACACACACACACACACACACACACACACACACACACACACACACATTTAATTCTTAGATCTGTTTACATTGCTAATAATAAATCATTAAAGGTTTGAAGTCAGGTTAGCAAGTTGAGATTTTAAAACAGAGAGTTTCTGCACCTTAGATTATTAATTAACCCACTTTCTTAGACAGAGAAGGAGCACTTTAAATGAAATATCAATAAAATGTGATCTAGGGTGTGTTATTGGGGTGTTCTGTTTCTTTTTTCCCTCTTCTTTTGTCTGCCCCTACATTTATTTATTTTTTCCTTTCTGGGCTCTGTTCTGATGGCTTTATTTACCGTGAGAAACTGCAGCAACATGTGCGTGGGGTGAGCTGATTGACATTCAAGAAGCCAGTTCTTAACTGCAAAGGCTTGGGAGTTACAAAGAAGCCTCGATCCTTCTTCAGGGGTATGCTTCCTACCTTCCCTCTACCCTTCACTCCTCCAGTCCCTCAGCAGCTTTGGTGTGTGGGGACAGTGAGGGCTCAAGCCCCAGGCTCCGAGAGAGAGAGCCGAGCAGGGCGTCCAGGCTGTGGCAGGGCGTCCAGGCTGTGGCAGGGCTGTGCAGCTCCTGGATGCGATTCGTCCTAAGCTCATAAATCAAACGCTTTCTATGAATGAGAATGTCATCAAAGAGATCAATTGCAGGAACACATGCACAAATAAAAATCCTCTTACGTATTTGCCGGGGATCCCCGTCCGAAAGCATTAAGTTAGAAGGCGTTTAGTCATAATTCATTTTTATTGCTCTTTTAAAACAACAGCTTGGCTGAGCCGCGGATGCCAAGAACAGTTCTGGGCCTCGGTTTGTCTCCTCCTTGCTCATTCCCTTTCCAGTAGAAGAGCCCTAAAAGAGGCACTTGGAGCCAAGCAAGCCGCTTGCAGAGGATTATTTCATTCATGGCCCAAGCTCGCCTTTCACCCACTCTCTGGGGCCTATTTAAAGAGACTTTAGCTCGATTCCTGCGTGGGTCGCTGGCCTCCTTGCTCAAAAGACCAAAGGTCTCTTACCCTGCATAGTGGCCTTCCCGATTCCTCCGGGTGGGGGTTGGGAAAGAATCCGGGCTGCAGAGCAGAAGCCTACTCGCTCCAGGCTGGGGGAGGTTTTCTTGGAGAGCCTCCCCGGGAAAGCACGGGCCCACAGCCCGCAGAGGCCGAGCCCGCAGTTAATAGGGCAAGGTCTGTGGAAGCCCCGAAACTGTGGGCCGGGTTCCAGTGTGTGTTTGTGATCTCGAGGAAAACACCCCACCTAGGCTGCCCAAGACAACAGGCGGAGGGAGAGGGCTGCAGGAAGCGAGAACTAGGAGAACAAGGAGGCCAGCAGAGGCCTGGGGCAGCTTTGAGGCGGGCGTCCTGGAGCTGGAAGGTTAGTGCAAGTCCGGAGGGTAGAGGCCCACAGAAGGCCGGGAATGAGACAAGCCGGAGACTAAGAGCCCCGCTCCCCGGCACTCACAGTACTGAGCCTCTCACTTCCTGTTCCTGACCCACAGGAGTTCCTTTCCTCATAGCTGGAGGATTGCCCTCCCAAGAGAACCTCTTCCGGGAGGTCCGCCTTGCTTTCCTCTGGTATGATTCCTCAGGAGCTGAAGCTAATGCAGGGGAAACTTTCCAGTCCTTGCTCCCCCTTAACCATGCTTTGGGGGTGAGTCAAAGGTCACAGGGAAATAAGTGGTTGGGGGAAATGTTCAGTTGCTACTGAGGGAGTCCAGGGACAAAGGTCTGCTTAGGTTTCCCTGAGGATGGTCAGGTTTGGGGAGTGGGGTAGGGTTGGAGGATTACCATTACGACCTCTGTATGTGAAGAACAAAACACAGAAGTCTGAAGAGTGACTTCACATCTGAAAAGTCCCGCCCTGAGCAAAACTTCCTTTTTCTATAGAGAAAAGACCCCCAAACTCACACATACATTACACTGTTAATTTCATGTCTGGATCCAAGGCTAGAAGCATGGTCAGAGTAAAAACTGTGCAGAATTGTCTGCAAGGTTTCTTAGGTGACCACTGAATTTCTCCTCCTTAAGAATGCGTGCATTCTGTTTGGCCTTTTCTCTTTCCAAGGCCAGGGCTGACATTAAACCCAATAGTAAACAGCAATTACCAACACCATCAGCATCATTGTAGGGCGAGGTTGATGGAAAACAGGACCCCTGTCTTGGGATGATGCTCACATCTGCACGTGTCTCTCCCGGGAGTGACCTGAAGGCTCACACAAGCAACTACACAGTCCGTTGGAAAGTGTCCCATCCACTCAGCCATCTGTCCACTGCCCCTCCCACCTGCCAGTCCTCCCCGCCCCCCCCCCACACACTCCACACTCCAGACACGCAATAGGGGGCGGTGGGAAGAGGAGGATCTCCCACTCCTAACATGCCCCTCCTGAGAGAGAGAAATGTGACGGGGGAGGTCAGCATACTTTGTAGGAGCTGTGATCCGGCCCTCTGAGGCCTGCGCTGGAGTGCGCAAGCTCCTGGGTCTCTAAGAAGGGACAGATGGCCTGCAGCTCAGGCTCGGCCCTCACGCCGGCCACGTCTGCTAGCGTCATCTCTCTCCTCTGCCTTCCAGCCTCAAACTCCAGCAGCAGAGTTGCTTCGGATCCTGCAAGGCTACCAAAGGCAAAGCTGGCTGGGGAGGAGAAAGGGGAAGAGATCTAGGGAAGAAGGAGGGCAGAGAAGAGAGCGACACTCGGCCTTTCCCGGAGAGCTAGGTTCCTAGGGCTCCCCCGCCCCCTGGGGTCGAATTACAGAAGCTCCCGTGACCACGCTATTGGCCGTACGAGTCAGAAAAGAGGGCTCGGAGACCCTCCGGAGGAGGACAGTAGTTTCTTTCCTTTCTCCGGTCCCCTGCACACCCACCCTGGTTCCTCCCAGACAATCCTCTGCACACCCACCCTGGTTCCTCCCAGACAATCCTCTGCACACGTCCCCCTACATTCCGAGGCTGGCGAGCCAGTGACGCACGCAGCCTTGCCCTAGGCGCCGCGGTTCCGGGCTCAAGTCTCTGCAGGGGCTGGGTGGGGGCGGCGGTCCCCAGAGGAGGGCACGTCAACCGGATTCCTACCCTTCCCACCCCGCTTGCTCCCGGCTCCGCCAGGGTCCTTGCGACCATGCAGAGAGCTCTGGCCTACCGATGTCCGCCTCAAGGGAGCCGGGAGGCCTGGGCCCCTCTCACCTCTTGCCAGTTCAGCTTTCGGGGCTGGGTGGGGAAAGGGCCACCGAGGGTCGCCTCCCATCCCCCACATCCTGGAGGCGGAGGCGAGCAGAGTCGGGTGCGCGCAGAAAGGCAGTCTCTACTCCCTTTGGCCCCAGTGCTCCAAGTCAGCTCTGGCAGCGGCCGCAGCGACCGCCGCGGCCCGGGCTGCCCGGGGGGGCGACCGCGCGTCACCTAGACTGAGGAGCGCCGGGGATTTAAATGCCACTGAAACGGTGATCCATCACCGCTGCAGCCGGTAAACTTTCGCAGGCGGCTCAGCCATTGGCTGACGAAGTCACGTGTCCTTCCCCCCTAGCGCCCTCCGCCTTCCCGCCCCGCCTCTCGCGCACTGTACATTCATATCATTTTTCTTCTCTGGTCCCATGGAGGAAGTGAGAAAGTTGGCACGGTCACCCAGGGCTTCGCAGGACCCAGTCACTCAGTGACAGATGGACAATGCAAGAATGAGCTCCTTCCTGGAATACCCCATCCTTGGCAGTGGCGACTCCGGGACCTGCTCTGCGCGAGCCTACCCCTCTGACCATGGGATTACAACTTTCCAATCCTGCGCGGTCAGTGCCAACAGCTGCGGCGGCGACGACCGCTTCCTAGTGGGCAGGGGGGTGCAGATCAGCTCGCCCCACCACCACCACCACCACCACCACCACCATCACCACCCGCAGCCGGCTCCTTACCAGACTTCTGGGAACCTGGGGGTTTCCTATTCTCACTCG